TAAGTGGAGTCTCAGGTCACACTGCGTGCCACGCGAATGTGCCACGAATAGCGAGCACATGTTTGCAAACAAGCCAAAAGAGCGTGGGAACCAGGGAGTATGGGAGTCGCCGGGACAGGAATATGGGGAGGGGAGAGGAGGCGTTGTGGGCGAGATACCGCAAGGATTACCTGGGATCGTTTCGGCTGCGGGGAAGGGGGTGGCATTTTGCTTTTTTGCTGCTTCCCATCGATGTCTCAGCCATTTAGAAAGCTACTTCATGAGCTTACAAAAGTTGACAATTTTGCCATGATGGCTCGATGAGCTTGCTCCAGCTTCACGAGAATTCACAGTTTCACCAGAGTGAAATTTGTAAACCGGAAAATCAGCAAAAGTGCAAAATGCCCCCCTCCCCTGCCCCTCCCACCCGTCGCCGAACTGTGCTATCGCCATTGTGTACAGGAACTGTGGAGAGTTTTGTGCTGACCCTTGCCTCAGAAAATTAAAAATTGCACAGACTGGATGAGTGGCCCGTTTCCATCAACTAGTCGCAACCTTCCCTTCCATTGTGTCCTCCATAAGGTAATCAATTTTGTAAAGGTCATCAACGTTATTTTTTGCCAGAAATATTGCTCCTGCCATTTCTGCCCTTTCGAGAAAATGAAAGTGTCGATTACTCTTATCGTAAAAATCGCGACTGTAAAAACTCCGCCACAACAAGGCCAGTTTTTTTTCTAGGCGGTGGACAGAAAAAGGGTGAGTTGAGCAGACGAGAAGGGGTTACAATTATTGTCCTAGTTGTCGATGAAAGAATAATGAGGAATGGGGACTGGGGCTGATTTACCGAAAGCTCCACTTATTTACTGATTTATGCTTCCTTGATTTACTTTGAGCTTCACTGATTTGCTGAAGCACGATGTGTGAGGAACCCTCACCCTTCCACCTTTTCACCTTCCTAGACCCATCTGTCATCCCCTGAAATCGCTGGGCCTGAGAGAGGGCCGATCCGGGAGTTGCCCTGCTCCCCCCAAATGATGAGCACCAAAGGCAAAGCTTGCGATCACAGATAGTACATAATTTAGCTCAGATATGAAAAAACAAGGTACTAACAATTTCAGTAGGGAAGAAAAAAATCGTCCGAAATGCCTTACATAAGACCCCTGCCGACGCCAGCTTGTACGTGCACAGTGTGAAGAGAAGGCGTGCTCGTACGAATTCTCACCTTTGTTATCACAACGATATCAGCTCTTTTCCAACACCACTCCACTCTCTCCTTCGCAGTGTTGAGGGTCAGTACAACGGTTACTAGCTAGTAGATAGTAGGCTCTGGTGGTCGGCATGGGAACGGACAAAAGAACCGTAATTTGGCGCAAGTGCAAGCGGTAATTTGGCGCGGCGTCGCGCGCTGCGCACCGTTTGGCGATGAGCGCGGGAAATTCTCAATGTGGGCGCCACGCGGCGATGGGCACGGGAATCCAAACTGTGCCAGTTTTTCGACTGGAGTAGCGAAAATCATGGGAATCATGGCAATCATAGCACTTTTTCCCCCCTACTTAGGCACCATTTCACGTGTCTTTGGCCATTTCCTACACCGTCTAGTGTTGTCATGGCTGACGATATGGAGCACCAAAACACTTCAGCATCTTTGGTAGTAACACCCTTTCCTGTCCCTTTTATATTCAAATTCGAATGGCTAGGCAGGAGAACTCGTCTCTCGCCGCGCGGTGTCGGTCGCCATGCGCGCGGCAACTAAAATTCTGTTTCTTTTGGGGTTGTGTTCAGCGGACTCACTGCTTGCCAACCAGGTCCCCGGCCCGCGTTGGGAGGTGGGTCCACGGCGCGCGGCGATTACATGCTTCAACATGTTTGCATGTTTGAACATGTCTACCTGTTTGGACATGATCTTGGCATATGGAAGATGAGGAAAGAAAGAACGCCTCAAGCAAATGGCGATAGGGTTATATTGATCGGAAGTTGGCAAAATGCCAGGAAAGCACTCACCGCCGCTGCCCGAGTAACACGTCTTGCCGCGCGCGTGACCTAGTTACGAGCGCGGCGGTGACTCTTGGCCGTCTCCCATTCTCTTGTCGTATATGTACCTGGTCGGCATAGGCGGTCTCATGGGTTCAAAGGTTCAGCTTTCACTGGAACTCTTGCAAAGAAGCCTTTTTTTTGCCCGTTGGCCTCTACAATCCGCCTACCGGGATCAATTTTATACACTGAGCTTTAGCTCTAGCTTATAGCTCTAGTTTATCGCGGAACATACCTTCAAATGATTTTCGAAATTCTCTGTTAACGATTATATTTCTCCCATTCTGAAGAAAGACCATCTTCAAGTGTTCTCATGAAGTGATGTTAGTGTTGTCGATTTCAGACGAACAAGCCGATGATGGAAAAGAAACGGCGCGCCCGAATCAATCATTGTCTCAGTGAATTGAAAGAGATTCTTATTTGTGACAAACATGCGGTAAGCTGATTATCGTTCCCTAATCACATCTGTTTAAATGTTCTTAAAAAAATTTTGAAAATTCACTTCCCAGGAACATAACATTCCTAACAAATGTCCTGGTTATCATCATCAGACATCCAGTTGATATGGTCAGAATCAGTCGGGGTGGTCTCATTAGAGGTGGAGTGAGCCCATGCACGGCGTTCCCACCATTGGTTGTTTTCCTCCTCAGCTGATCACTATTGGTAGAGCAAGACAGCCTGGGAAGGCTCATTCCACCTCCCATGACACCGCCTCGACTGATTGCGATGATAAGAACTACGCGCTCTCGATTCCTCAACAGGATGGCAGAACGGGATATAACGTTTACTTACTAGCCCCGTTGGAGCCGTATTGTGGATGTAGAGGGGAAATTGCTTCACAGGGGGAATGTGTGTCAGAGTTACCAGAAGATGTGAGTCTCACCGGCATGCCCTGCATGGATACCCCGCCGTATGCATGGGAGCGCTGACCTTGATTCTTCCTTGCAATCCCGCTGAGCGATCCTCCAGGGATAGGGAATGAATTTCCTCCTGATCTCGTTTTTTCCTCTTCTCCTATCAGCGGTAGCAGCTGCGCCCTTGTGGTATTCATTGCAAAAAAAGGAGCTAATAACCTCGCAGAGGTCCTTCAAAAGCAAGTGGCACGATAAATCGACAAGGCATCCAGGATCGATACGCCTAGTACGAAAGAAATTTATGCGCTCGGAAGGGCAGCATTATAGTGCCTAACCAAGGCGCAACATGTCGACCCAAACGCCCATCGCAACCGCCCGCCCACAAAGGCCGCTCAACCGCATCGACGCTGAAACTCCTATCGTTTCACTTGTGAAGTACAATTGATTTGAAGCATTGTTGCATGGATATATGAATGCATACGTGCAGCCATGTCCGAAGCGTTGTTGGTGCGATGCCAACGGAAAACTCGTCCAGAATCTCTTTCTGTATTCGTGCGATGCCGTGCAGAACAAAGGTTCTTTCGTAGGTTATCGGCCGTATAGCATCGCTTTCCGTCATTTCCTCCTAAATAGGCTTCGCATCGCTTTCCGTCATTTCCTCCTAAATAGCTTCCCTGCTACTATCGTTTAGCAAGCACTAAATTATCGTGCCTTATGCCATTAGAGGTGTCAATTTACCAGACTGGCGTTACTATCGTCCCAATTAAAGGCAGCTGCCACGATAAATCCCTAAAGACGACGCCTGGCGGGGCGGAATTCCGCCCCCTAAACAGGCGCTGCGTAGCACCTTTCCCAAGGAAGGTACCCTCATAAGACCCTATCAAGCTGCAGCATACCGACCGGACGCCCACCGCGCCCGCCCGCCCACAAATGGACGACCGTACCTGATGCTCGTATTGCTTCATTTGCGAAGTAAAATATGAAGCGAAGGGATTTATGAAGCGGCCGCGGTGCTGAATGAGGTCATACCTGCAGCTGTATTTACCGTAGCAGTTACTGGCACGATGCCTACGGGAAACTCGTCCGAAATTACTTCCTGAGTCATGAAGAACGAAGGCTTTTTTCGCAGTTTTTGACCGTTTCACTTCGTTTTTTCGCCATTTTCCCACTATATAGCACTCCTGCTAGCATTTTAGACCGAGTACCAAATTATCGTGCCAGATGCCTCTAAGGAGCCGCACTTGGATTTGGCTATTGGTCACCCAGCATAGAGCTCCTTCCTTTTACTCTCACCTCAGGGCTCACCATAAATTCCTTATCTTCGTTACGCGTTACGATAGTCACAGTTGT